CTACAAGTGGGGAAATTACCTTTACTGCCTTCCCTTTCTGAAGCATAGCACAAATCCTGGGGATATGTGCGATTGCTAAATTGCACCATCAAGATGACAATGATGATGTGGACAAGATCTGGGCACAAAAATATTGAGAGCTCGGATAAGAACAAATGTAGATTTGAATTTTTCGTGTACATGTATGCGCATTTTGTGCATAGCAAGAGCACTGTGGCATTGGTCGACCTTTTGAGCCACGAGTTATGTGCTCGAGTCCTGTGCATTGATGCTGCGCGGAGTTGACCTTTTGAGCACTGTGGCTTAAGTGCACTACTTCTGTGGCGTTTGTCAAAAGGTCGGCTCCGTGCAGCATCAAGCCTAACACAGCACGAAACGACAACCTGTTCGACTATGCAGTGTCATCATCGCGATAACGCAGTCGCGACCGTAATTGGGACCGACCGGTGGGGCATGATATACCTCGTATTCCCGACGGACCAGGCGCGGCATTCGTACACTGCAAGGTCATCAACGACTCATCATGTCTGTCACGGCATGTCCGGCTTCACGTGTCCTTGATCGGCTTCCTCGTGCTTCCCTTCCCTTCTCTTCTCGCTTCTGTGAGCAAAGAACAGAATCATTCAGAAGGAAACTTGAAATCTGCCGGCGGATGCTGCATGGGTACGTCACTCCGATGTGACATTTTGCCACCTAACACGCCAAGACAGGAATGCCTATGCTTCGTAAACTGCCTGGCTATTGGCTATTGGCTATTGGCTATTGGCTATTCCATTGGACTGTGATCTTCTCAAACTTAGAAGCCCGCAGCTCCACTTGCTGAACCTCTCCCCCACCTGTTTCAACTGCCCCTGACGAGCAGGGATTACTGCGCTATGTCCCTGACGAGGGAAATGACTGTCCTATTAACACCGCTTTACGTTGCTATTCGCTATTGGCTATTGGCTATTGGCTAATTGGCTGATAGACAACTAATTGTGCTATTGGCTATTCCTTTGGACCGTTGTCTTGTTGAAACCTGCCAGCTTGCTGCTCCAGTTGCTGAAGCTCCTCTTCCAGATGTTCCTGACGACCCCTTCCCTCCTCCTTTTTCCTTCTGATCACTTCGCTTAGGGATTGGATGGATACCAAAATTTCCTTCCGGATGCCTGCGAATGCACGCGCATGCTTGAGTACGGCTACCTGCAGCAGAGAACCACAACGCACACACACAAAAAAAAAAAAAAAAAAAAAGAGTTGAAAAACAACCAACAAGGGAAAACTCGGAGAAAATCGGGAAAACTCGGAAAAAGAGAAAAGAGTAAAAAAAGACGTCTTTCTCGGCCTTTTGGGAAAGATCAAGTTTAGTATCGGTTCTGATCAGTTCTGTATCTGATCCGTGCTCAATCCGGAACATGAAACAAAACAAAAAAAAAAACAGAGAAAAGACATGACTTCCGTCTTCACCCGAATCGAACTCCCCGTCATTATAGCTGTATTTGGTGCATCTTGCAGTCTAGATACAGCGATAATGACCGCGCATTATATTTGGATGAAGACGGTAGGCCAAGCTCATGAAGCCTGCAAACGTGGATCGGAAACCAAATGAAGGCAGCGGCAGGTCTTTGGAAACTGAATCCTGCGTGCCGACCAAGGTCTAAAGATCGCCTCCACTTCATTCTTGCCCCGAGAGGTTAAAAAGACTAAGTACATGGAAGGGAACGTTTTTTCAGAAACACAAGTTCCGCCAAGAAAATCTAGAAAAAGCAGTGTTGCATACCCCGAAGGTCGGCTGGTCGGCAGTGCCGGCGCCTACCGGTCGGGGGTCGTTGGCACCCCGCAAAAATAATCCGACCAACACCCCCATACCTGCTCCAAACAACCCCACACCCCCCCCCCAACT